GTAGTTCCCAGAGAAAGTGTAGCCGTCGTCGAGGCGGGAGCGCCAGGAAGCGTTTCCATTGACCAGCAGTGGTTATTCTCTAAGAACGCGCATTCGACAACGACAGCAACACAACTCAACTCATCAACTCTAAGGGCGGTATTCGATGATCGCTGTCCGACTGCCTGACTGGGGCACTGGCCCTGGCAAACTGCCTCTTGTCTCAAAAAGCGTTGAGTGTGACGTGGCCTTAGCGCCTGCACGAACTATACGGCGCAGCGAAAGCGCAAGGAGGGAACGCCTCCCCAGGCCCTCTGCGGCGCCCCTGCTAGCGGTGACGCCTCAGGGGCTCACAGACCACCAGCCACTGCTGACGACAACGACACCGACATCGACGACGACGACGACGACGACGAATGCAATGACGAGCGGGCGGCGGCCTCGGCGGCGGCTCCAACCTGGGGCCCTTGCCGCTCCAGCCGCCCTTGCCGGCCCAGCCCCCTTTCCATCCTCGCCGGGGGTGGGCGAGGAGGACGAGGAGAACAAGACGAGGAGGAGGAGGGGGAGGAGGAGGAGGAGGAGGAGGAGGACGACGACGACGAGCACGAGCACGAGGAGGAGGAGGAGGAGGAGGAGGAGGAGGAGGATCAGATGCAGGCGAACCTGGCCTCGCTGTTGACCACTCTCGCGTCCAAGCAGGAGCCAAGCGATATACCAAACTGCCCGTGGGGTGGCCCGCAACAGTCAGCCGAGCTTGACGAGGAGGCGCGTGGCATGGTTTGGCTTCGACTGGAAGCGACAGCGGGTTAGGTCATTCAGCTTCTGAAGTGACGAAGAAGAAACCAAGGAATCTTGGAGCCATACTGGGGTCTTCTCGGGGCCCTCTTCGGGTTCTTTTGCGGCGAGGAGGATGAGGAGGACGAGGGGCGACAGTGCATCCGCGAGGAGGGCGAGGAGAAGGATGAAGAGGAGAAAGTGGAGGAGGAGGAGGAGGAGGAGGAGGAGGATCGCATGTAGCCGCGGACAGGGTGCGTGCCAGTTACTGCGTCAGTGTGCGCAAAGGAGCAGCTCGAGTCTCAAGATGCCCGTTTCAAATAGGACCAGACGGGCCCGAGGGGCGCAAGGTTAAAGCATGGTAAACTTTGAAAACGAGAGCAAGCAGGAAAGCGTTTCGGACCCTGGAGGTCTCCCCTGTGCAGTCGGCCTCACCCCCCCAAGCCGATTAACTGGGGCGCGGCCACGATGGTGCAAGAGTGCGGCGACGGGCCTCGCAGAGCGAAAACAATACCCGCGGGCACCGCCGTCGAGCAGCGCGCACCGTGCGGGCGAGCGCCTCTACGCCCAAAATGGGCGACTCGGCCTGCGACCACCTCACCACTCGGGGACAAACTCCAGGTCCCCAACTTCGATGTCCAGGGCGAAGGCTCCACTCGGAGCCGGGGCGGTGGGCCCAGAGCCGAGAGGAAGCTTCGCCCCAGTGCGTGGGTGGTGTCCGCCCCATAGGCGGTCGAGGCGTCTTCGCGCCGTCGAGCCATCTCACGCGGACGACGAGGATGAGGAGACTGCGGAGATTGCGATGATGTGCACCCAGGCGCGGCACGTGCCAACTCATAAAAAGTTAGGCACTGGCTATGGGGCGCTGGTGGCAGGAGCGGCTAGCGCGGCAGCGGCGACGGCTTCGTCCACGGCCGCGCCGTGGGTCGCCGCTCGGACATATGGAGTGAGTCAATCGCGCGCCGCGCGGGCACGGGTGAACAAACCTGCGTCGATCTTGGCAAGGTTCTCCTTGCCCTTGCGCGTGGTGCCACTGCACGGGGCGGCGAGATGGCGTGGGTCTTCGGTGGCTGTCTTTCCGCACTCTCGGCAGAAATGCACGCAAAACTTCTGAGTGAAGTGCAGCTTGTGGCTGTCGTGCAGCGGGCGGCCACAGGCAATGGCCGCCCCCTGTACTGGGACGACCTGCTCGCTGGCGACGGGCGGCGGGGCGGCTGGCTGGCATGGCGCGGCGCAGGCTTGACGGGCGGCTCGCTTGTCGGCAGTGAGCCCGCAGCGCGAGCATCTGTAGTTGCTCGCCTGGAGCTCGAAGGCGTGACTGCTGGACTGAAGGGCTCGCTGCAACTGGGTGAGTCGCGGGCCCTTGGACTGCGAGGGCCGCTCCGCGACCCAGGGGCCCACCGAGAGTGCGCCAGCGAGCGCGCGGCGAGCACGGCGGACGGCGGCGGATCAGGGCGCGCCGGGCGTCGCGCAGGCCTGTCGGCGGGGCTGCGCCTAGGAGGGCTACCTCCCAAGCGCGCTGGGCGGCTACGCCTGCCCGGGCATCGGCGCATGCATTGCCTAGCGCGTGGGCCAAGCGGACGGGGTCGGTGGATGCGTGCTGGGCGCCCTCACTGCGACAGGGCACCCGCGCCACCGCGACAGAGCCCGGGCCGCGAGTCCTAACGGCTTTACCTATGCGCTGCCAGAGGTCTAGGTTAGCACCGCGAGGTTGCAGGTGGCGGCTCGACCCCCGCCCAATTCTCGAGCGCGAGCGCGAAGGCTAGGAGCTCTGCGCGCGGGGCGGTTGGAAAAGGGCCCTCGAGGCCCGACAGGGCGCCGCCCCAGGGGGCCCACCCTCCGAAATGGCTTTTCATCGCGATCACGGCCTGCGGCGGCGGGGGTCGGCACTAAACTGCCCTCCCGATCCGTCGCCGCACAGGGTGAGGAGGCCGTCCGAATCTCCGCGCCCCTCCCGCCCCCGCCCAAGCCAGCTCCGCCCGCCGCCCCCTCCCAGATCAACAAAGACAGGGTGCGTGTCCGCACGGGCGGCTAGGCCACGGAGCCAGCATGCAGGGGCAGCGTCTGCGCCAGCGAGGGCAGAGGGAAGGGGCGCGTCAGACTTCTCGTAATCCTCGTGGTCGCGGTTGCAGGGGCAGAGCCAGATCCTGTGCATCAGGGTCTTGGATGGCGCACCGCATCTCGGGCATGCTGTCTCGGCCTGGTAGCCTGCGTTGCTGAGCCTCTCTCTCGGCCACTGCGCTCCCGCGACCACGCGCAGGTTGCGGGCCCGCTGGTCGAACTGGCCCTTGCGCATGAACCTGTTCATCTCGTTGGTGACGGCGTATACGTCGGCTCCGCCTCGCTGGAAGCCTTCGCCGTCGAGGTGCTTCGCGGCGTCGTCCCAGTGGCCAATCTCGATGGTCTGGCAGAATTCCAGGGCCAGCTGTGAGGGGTCGATCTCTTCGCGACACTGCTCCGAGTCGCCGCAGTCCTTGTGAGGTAGGAGCCAAGCCGGCTCAACATGCTCACCTTCGCGAGGCCGGCGATGCCACTCGAAGGGAGTCGGGCAGTCCCACCCTGCGCCCACGAGGATGGCCTGGACGGCGGAGATGGGGCCCACCACCTTGCGCCAGCGCCTGTTACCGTAGCCGGTGGTCGTCGCAAAGATGAGCCGCCAGGCCTGGGCAATGCGCCTGTGGTGGTTCGGGTTGGCGAACCAGAAGGAGAGCCACTCCAGGATGGTCTGCCTGCAGAGCTCGATGCCAGGGCCCTTGTCGCCGAGGAGCAGAGGAGCACGGCGAGCGTGGTCTTTGCCCGCGATCGCCTGGGCAGCTTGGCGCCGCTGCTGGGCGATGGCGCTCGGGGAGAGGCCCGCGACCTGGTGGTCGTAGGCCCCCTGCGGTCTGGACCCCGTCGTCCAGAGGCCCTTCGCGATCTTGGCGAGCGAAGCGTGCCTGCGGATCTTGGCGATGATGCGGCCTGTCCTGCGCTTCGCCGTCTGCGCCCTCTCGGCGGCCTTGGCTGCCGCCCTCCTGCGCGCCCCCGCGGTGTCGACGCCTAAGTCGACGGTGGCGTTGGCGACCTTGATGGGGCAGCCCTCGCGCCTGAGGGCCACGTGAAAGTCGAGGGCGACCGCTGCGCTGGAGGCGATGACGGCGGTCCTCGGCGAAGCCTTGAGCTCTGCCTACGTCATGCCGTTGCAGAGGATGGCGCCTGCGGCGGCGAGGTCCCTGGCGACCTGCTCGGGCCCCCCTTTTGTCCTGGCGACCGTGCCTTCGACAGAGGTCCAGAGTCCAGCGTGGGCGTAATTCTGGCGGGCCCTCGCGAGGACGGGGCCGCGGCAGACCTTCGCGAGCTTCCCGCCGTGAGCGCTGCCTGCGAAGATGGAGCGCTGCCGGTCGATGATGCCACTGGCCCGGCCGCGCACGCGCAGGTGCCCGGGCGCGAGGAACAGCTGCACCTCCAGAGCCACAACGGCAGGAGGGAAGTTGACCTGGATGGCAGTGTCGACCAGCTTCGCGAAGTTGACCGAATCGTAGAACTTCTCGGCGTCCATGAGGGGGGCGGCGTAGGAGATGCCGATGGGTCGCCGCTGTCTCGTCGAGGAGCGCTCTCGCGAGGGCTGCCCGAATGGCGCTGGAGCTCTTGATCGCCGTGCCCCAGAACTCGCCGAGCTGCATGGACCACTGGTCGGTGATGGTGGCGCGGAGCTTGCTCCAGGTCTTGGCGACGGTGGGGGGCGTGCCGAGGACGCGCCCCCCTCCAGCTGGCTTGGGGGCCATGGCCCTCGCAGCGGCGCAAAGCTGCTGCGGCCGCAGCCCGCTGGGCTCCACGAAGTGGTAGATCGCGGCGAGCTGCTCGATACCCTTGGGCGGTTGGCGCTGGATGTCCAGGGCCCGATGTCGTCGACCCCGCGCGCCTTCTTGGGGTCGGCGGCGCCGACCACGGCGCAGATGCGCCGCGGCTCGATGGCTGGGCGGGGGCCCTCCCGAGCGAGGCGCGCGGCCTCGAGGTTGGCCTGGGTGATCTGCTTCTCGTCGTAAACGTTGGCGGACCACGCCTGCCGCCAGACGCCCGCAGCTTCGTTCATGACGGCGCAGGGGTCGCCCGCGGCTACCCCGTTGAGCTCGGTCTCGGGCTTCGGCGGGCTCGGGCCCACCACGAGGCGGCGGGGCTTGCCAGGGGGGCTCCTTCATAGCGCGCTTGGCCCAGTCGAGGTAGCGCTTGGAGGCTCGGCCCGCCGCCCTGGCCATCGCGCTGTTGGTCTAGCGCTCGCTGGTGGCGCAGATGTGGTGGAGGCCCCCCTCGTCGCAGAAGTCCAGCGAGGCGACCTGCAACTTCCACTCGCCCACCTCCACGGGGTCAACCATGGAGCCAAAGTGGCCCCAGTGGAAGTCGTCGCTGTCGAGCTGGCTGAGCTTTGCCTGGATGCTCTTCCTGAGCTTGCCCTGCACGCGGATGCCCTTGTCATTAATGACGAGGGCGGTGTAGCGGATGATGGGCGTGCTGATGTGCTTCCACCAGCCCGCCTCGGGATCCTTGAGGCAGGTGCGTACTGGCGTCGCCTTCGTGACCTGGCGCGCGGTCTTGTAGCCCTGCGCCCTGCCTTGGTGCTTGGCCCAATCCTCGGTGGGGGCGTTATGCGTCTCCAGGAAGGCGATCTCCTTCACGGCGACCCAGTGCGCGCATGCTGCGTTGACCTGCTTCGCTGCGCGCGGCGCGCGCGCGTGGAAGATGTGGTCCATGCCCTCCTTGATGCCCGCAAGGTGGCCCTCGAACTTGGGGCAGGTGACGGCGATGCCGACTGCCTTGCCCCAGTCGGCGCTAGGGGCACTGAACGGCGCGTCGCCCACGGGGGCGCTGTCGCTGGTGACCCTGGGGGGTGCCGAACTCCTCGCGCAAGTGCCCGGGCAACCTCCCCCCCCCTGTTCTCGACGCCTCCGCGCGAGCCTTCAACCTTTCTATGTACTAAGAGGGTCGCGGCCCTTTTTTGGTCGGGCTCGCGCGGGGAAGGCTTCGGGAACCTCGATCGTTTTGCAGCTCCACGGCTCGGCGGTTCCGATGGTGACCTGGATGCCGCAGTGGGTCTTTCACGGCGCGTCGAATACGGCCTGGGCGGTGATGTGGATGGCGATGTCGCCCCTGGCGATCGCGTAGCCGTAGAGCCATTGCCCATGTCGCACGTGGCCGCGCAGGAGGGGTCGGTGGCGACGGCGCCGATCCAGCGGATGAGCCACGGCTCGTCGGCCCACCGCGGCGGCTCGTAGTTCCAGTCGGCCAGGATGACCCAGGGGTCGGCAAACATATCCACGAACGTGGCGATCGACATGAGGATGTCCACGTTGGCGCCCTTGTCGCGGAGGCCAGGCCGAATGTAGGCCGCGACAGTCGCGATGTTGCCGCTCTTGGTGTGCAAGATGCCAGGGGAGCAACCCACGAACGGCTGGCGCTGGCGGGTCTCGGGGCGGCGCTCCCTGCAACCCTCGAAGGTGGTGGCCGCCGCGCCACGCCTGGGGAATACCCACTCGCCTCCGTGGGCGCCCATATCCGATTTGTGCGTCGGGAGGGCTGGAGTGGCAGCGAGCTTCCAGCCGTCCATGGCGAGCTTGCCGCGCAGCTCGCTTAGGCCCTCGACGTCCACGTGCGTCTCGGCGAGCGCGATGATGCGGCACTGGTAGCCGATGGTGCGGCAGTAGTTCGCCGCCTGCGGGCCCCGCTCCGTGATGTTGCCACAGAGGATCTGCGCCTCGTTGCTGGGCTTAGCCCCAGGTCCAGGGCTCCGCGCCAGGGAGCTGTCCGAGGCCACCGTCCCAGCTTGCTCCGGGCACTGTACCTCTGCGCCGCCCCTGGCGACCATCCCTGGCCTGACGGGGCTACCCGATTTGCAAGCCTGCAGGTGCGTCTGCGCCTGCGGCCTTGCCCTTTCCTTTGGCCACGGCGGCCATCTGCTTGGCCTTGGCGACGGAGTCGGCGATGAGGGCTGCGGCAGCTTCTCGGTCAGCGGCGGAGGGCTCCGCGACTGCAGGTTCGGTGGCTGGTTCTCTAGGTTGGCTGGGCCCAGAGCTAGCGGCAGGGGCCCCTGCAGCGGCTTCGACTTGAGAAGCAGCGGCGGAAGCTGCACCAGCAGCGGCGCCGGATTGTTGCTGAGGGGCGCGAGGTCCTTCAGGCTTTTGTTCGGCGCTCCGCTTGCGCTTCGCGGGGTCTTCTCGGAGGACCCCTTGGCCTTGCGGATGATCTCGCGGGCGAAGTCCTGACCTTCGTTGAGGGCCCTGATGCGGTCGTCGAGGTCCTTCCACTGCTCCATCTGCAACCTGATGGCGTCGTCGTACTTGCCGAGGTCGTCCCACGTCAATGTGTCGATGCGGAATAGCTCGGTGGCTGGCTGAGGTTCGCGCGGTGCTGCAGCTCCACCCAGTTTGAAGCATTGGTCCTCCTGCTCTTGCTCGCAGGCGCGCTTGGCCTTGACCAGCTCGAGGGCGGCCGTTTCCTGGCGTTCCTTAGCGGTGTCGAGCCACCACTGCGCCTCTTCAACGTCTTCCACGGTCTGCTGGAACTTCCACCCGCGGTCCGTGAGGACGGGGAGGGCCGACTGGAGCGCCTGCTCTGCAGTGCGAGCTGGTGGTGCCTGCTCTGGCTGTTGTAGTGGCTGCTTGAGTTGGCCGACCAGTCCCTGACGCTTCTCGTCGGCATAGAACGACGCGAGGGCGTCGAGAGTGCTGTCCTTCGACGGCGGCTGGGGGACCAGGTCCTTCTTGGCCGGCGGCGGTCGGGTCCGCCACGGCTCGGGCGCCCACGCTCCTTCAGGCTGGCGATGCTCAGCTGGCGAGTGGGCGAAGGGCTTTTCCCGCAGGGGAAGCACTCGGCTTTGCCCTTCCGTGCCCAGCGGTATCGGCACAGCTTGCATATCGTACAGTCGACTGCGGGACCTGCACGCTGACCTCGAGGCTGAAGTGACCGAGGCCCTGGTGATCGATGAGCGAGAGGTTTGGGGCCCATATCTCCAGACCGTCACCGAAGCACCAAGCGGAAGGACAGGGCGGCAGCTCGCCCGTGAGAAATGCTGCAAATATGGAGGTGGGCGGCAGCTCGCCCCTGGTGGTAGCTGCAAGTACGAAGATCGCTGAAAGCTGTGGGAGCCTACCCCGTGACATTTTGGCCTTGAGCCAAAATGGCTACGGACGACGAGGATGATGATGAGGAGGAGGAGGAGGAGGAGAAGGAGGAGGAGGAGGAGGAGGAGGATATGGAGATGGAGGAGGAGGAGGAGGAGGACTCTTGGAGCCATCCTGGGAACTTCTTAGGGCCCTCCTTGAAACCCTCCTGGCTCTGAAAGAGCAAGATCGGTCGGCATCGAAACGGGAAATCCCCACGTCCCCTCATGGCTACAAGATCGCGGAGGTCGGTTTTTGACAACTTTCGGCCTCAGGGAGCCCTCAGCGGCCCCAGGACAATCAACAAACCACCCCAGACGACAAACTGGAACCGGTGAAGGGGTTCAGATCTCAGGGGTCAGGGGTCCACGCTGTGTGAGACAACCATGACGCCGGAGCTCTGGGAAATCGAGCCGAATCGAACGATGTGCATTGGCACGGAGTCGAAGTCGGATCGGCCCGGCCGAGCCAGGAGGCAGAACAGCGCCACGCAAGTATCGGGCCGCATCGGATCGTCGGAATACCCAGCACTCGGACGTCCCCTGAGATCCGACGTTGGGAAAAGTTGCAGCGTCGCGAACAATCGCGACCGGAGCCCCAGACCCCATCGTTCCACGTCATTTTCTGAGCCCGATCGATCTGTGAGGGTCCCGGGCCCGAGCCTGGGCGAAAACGCTCCTCGCCATCGCTTGGACGTCCATTCCCCGTGCATTTGTCGATTTCGTGCGCGTTATTTTCTCGATGGTCTAGGATGCTCCTCGATGGTCCTCGCCGACAACAGGATGTACACCTCCGAGCGATGCTGAGGCCCGTTTTCTTTTGAATGCAACGCCAGGATCTCGTGGTCCCTGGAGGTCTCTGAAAGCATCCAAGATGCATCCGAGGGCACAGGACATCCAAAGACGCCAAAAGCTGCCTACCCTCGAGCCTCGAAACCTTTCCGGTACCGCTCGCGGGCCCCAGAACTACGAGGCCACGGTTTGATCAGAACGTGGACCCCTGGAGGTCTAGGCCTCTTCCCAGGGACCCGCCGTTCGTGCTGAGTCGTGCGCTGGTGGTCCCGGGCCGGGTGAGGGCCCCAGGAGGCCGAGCACTGCCAAACCAAACGCGTCCGCCGTGATTGCTTCATAGCTCGAGAAGCGGGGAGCCCCCCCTCCCCTCATCCCTCCCTGGCTCTCGGGCCATAGCTCGGGGGCTTCCTACTGGACGAACGCGCTCCACTGCTCGCAAAGTAGTTCACGACACTCGCAGATGGCCTGGCTCGGCCGCGAGGCATTGTACGGTCCGTTGCATCGAGCTGACATCGAATTGAGCGCGCGTTTCCCTTCCGTTTGCGAGTCGGCACTGTGCGAGTGGTGGAACGCGCTCGGTGGCCTGCGGCCGTTTAGAGCGATCCGGGCACGCCTGGAACGCTTCCGGCGAGGCGCAGCTGCGCGAGGCTGGAAAGCCGCCGAGAGCCGAGGAAAACGCACGAGAACCTCAAACCTCGAGCCTGTCGTCCCCAGCCCCCCTCCCCTCCGTTGTTGCCCCTGGCCAGGGGTCACACATCGAACCTCCACTGGGGGGCGTTCCTTGCCATCGCTCGGACGTCAACTCCCTGTGCATCTTCCGGTCTCGTGCGTGCTTCTTTGGCCGGACGGTCCAGGATGCTCCTCGATGGTCCTCGCCGACCAGAAACGTGCACACGTCCGAGCGATGCCAAGTTCGGGGCGGACCCCGCCGCAGCCGCGAGGGCGCCCCAGGACGACCCAGAACGCCGAGGCAGCGAACCTCGATCCTCGAAGCCCCTGGGCCTATGCGGGCCTCCTAGATTTCGGTCGGGCACGTCCTCCTACAGGCGGATTTCGGAAGACAAATAAACAAAAAGTAATCAAACATCATCAAACGAGCACGAAAAATCGTCACCAGACTATTGTTTAACTATGTTTGAATATTCCTCCTGTACAGGGAACCGCCCGACTTAATCCTAGATGTGGTCCGACCAGTTGGGGTCGGAGGATCCCGCCTCATCGCCGATGCATCGGCGATACATCGCCGACGCATCAGCGATGCGTCGGCGACGTCGGCGTTGTACCGGCGCCGTCGGCGTGGAGAAACTGGGGCCCCGCACCGAGCCGCATCGGCGATGCATCGGCGACGCGGCGCGATCCTCTGGCCCCACCTGCTCGGACCCCATCTGGGAGGCCTGGAGCCCATCCCTCCTCACTCGCCGTCCTTTGCCGCTCTTGCCGCTGGGCTTGCCCATGGCGCGGCGCCCCCCTCGCCGCTACAGCGGCGCGGCCGGCATGTCGGGCGGCGGTCCGACTCGAGCCCCCGCCTCCTGCGTCGCAGTGGAGGAGGCTGCCGACCTCGAGATGCAGAATCAGGCGGGTGTATCGTTTTTTTCTGTTCTCGGGACAAGCTGGTTCTACGTGGAAAAGCCCGAGGAGGAGGAGGAGGAGGAGGAGGAGGAGGAGGAGGAGGGGGGAGGAGGAGGAGGAGGAGGAGGAGGAGGAGGAGGAGGAGGAGGAGGAGGCGGAGAGCCCGAGAGGGCAGACATACCGCTCAGGGAGAAACAAGCGGGTCGTGCCCGCACGCGCGCAGCCCCCGACGAGTCGGAGGGCTGTCGGCCTCTTCCTGCCTCCGAAGGGGCCCTCGCCTGGCCTCGGGCATACAGTCGGGGCGTTGACCTAAGGAACCCTAAATAAGGAACGAGGCCCCTTTTTCCCATAAGTTAAATGTCGATCTCCCATCGAAAACATAAGGAAAACCTGAGGCAAGCTGCGAAACACTGAAGGAACGCGAAGCCCCTCCCCAACCAAAATGGTTCCTTCTTCAGGGCCCCGGCTGTATCTTCCCGTGGCGCGTCTGATGTTCCACGCCGCTCCGAAGACGCACTGCAAGACGTATTCCGTGGCTCAGCCAGTCCCGATCACTTCGAGCATCTAGTGTTCCGTTCGGCAAAATCGCCCGACCTCGGGTGCCTTCCAGCAGCTGCGCCTCGCCGAGAACGTCGTGGGGGCGCCAGGATCGTCCCGAACGGCCGCCAGAGATCCGAGCTACGAGCCGAAACCCGAATCTCCGAGGAGGACCCCGCTTGGGTAGGCATGAGAAGGACTCCTAATCTTTTTCCAGGGGACCTAAGTTAGGAGGGCCTGGAACATCAGGGATGTCAGGGGTGACAAGAGTTCTTTGTTCTGCAGATGTACCGAACCAAACCACCAGATCGATCATCCCTAGTGCGAAGACGGGGACCTCAGTGAGGCCACGCATCCATCGTGTCATTCGGGTTAGGGGTTCTTCTGTCCTCAACGCACCCTGACTGGCGATCCACCGTACTTCTGCGCAGTGTCGCAAAGAGGGCGGACATTGTCGCTTTACGCTTCAAGCTCCTGTGGTGCCCATGTCTGCCCCACGTTGCGTTGCTGTCGCTGCTTCCGCCATACCTCAACGGACATATCGACCTACTGCTGCTGAGGCAAACATTCCCGCCCTGCTGTTTTGCATCGTTTTGGGCGAATTTCGGACACAATTTCAAATCGGAGAACCACCAGAAAACACGACGGATCCGGAGTCAGGGCAGTCCGACCCTGCAGGGAGGGAGGGACGAAGAGTCTTCCCCCCGGGATCTTTGACCATACCTCCTCCTCCTCCTCCTCCCCCGCCTCCTCCTCCTCCTCCTCCTCCTCCTCCTCCTCCTCCT